CTGCCTCCGACGGCACGGCAAGCGCCACGACGACGACGGCTGCGACGGCGGCGGTGGCGGCGGCGGCGGCGGCGGCGGCGGCGGTGGCGGCGGCGGCGGCGCGACGACGCCGACGTCATCCGCGGGTAACGGCGACTCGCCCGAGAGATCCCGGATCGGGACGCCGCAGACGTCATACGCCAATCCGACATCGACGAACGATCGTTTTGCCTACGCGTCGATCTCGGAACGTCGCTCGCGGTAGCCCGCCAACGTGTGCTCGATCTTCCTCTCGCGGTACCAAAGCACTTTCTTCTCACCTCGCGTTCGGCGCCGCGTGATTTTTAAATTTCTTCGGGCTCGCTCGAGTACGCCGCATTCCGCTGATACCGGTGGTGATTGTTGGATTGGAGAACCCAGAGGGTCGGACGATCAAGGGACTTGGTGATAGATCGAAAGGGTTCGAAAGTCAGTGATCGCCGAACAAGTGACTTACGTTTTACGGTGCATAACACGACACGTAGCAACCTCGAAGTACCATATGTGAGTCTATAATAATTTTCAATTGGGCATACGAGTGCGCATACGCTTTGCTCTGAAAGACGCGAGTTTTTGTGAACATAGATAGTCTCTCTTCGTCAGGAGAATTAAAAACTTTTTGTTAGAGAGACAGGAAATTGTTTCGATTAATTTTGCAACCATTATTTTAAGACAAATGTTGTCTGAGATTCATCTCTCGCTTAACTTGAATGAAATCAATTAAAAATCTTAGAAATTAGGTTCTCCGAATTATAAGAATAAATGTATCGAGCTTATTGTAATACATTGTTCCGTTCGTGTTGTTTGAAGACAATTAAAATTACGAACTAGCTTTATATCTTATATTATAGTGGGAGAGTTGCGTTGGGTTGCAAGGAAAACATATTAAATTGCTGCGTCCGTGCGTCTTATGTTTCATGTCAAAATCGGTAAGCGAAGTATAAAGATTTTGCATGCCGCCAGGTTTTAGTGCACCTGACATCGGCCTGACAACGAATGATCGAGGAGGCACAATGAACGGAACAGCGACAGTCACGGCCACCGAGGACCACCAGCATCAGCATCAACAAGCGCAAAATGAATCGACTTCGGACCATCCACGGAGCCCCGCCAGCCCACTGAGCGTTAGACACGGTAAGACGGCACAAAAAGTACTTAAAATATTAGATGAATTCATGCAATCGATACGAGCAAATAAAGAAGTTATAATTGAGTATCTCGATTCAAGAAAAACGCAAAAAAAAATCGACTTACGTTCCTATTTTTCATTGCGAAAAGAAAATAAGTAAACTCGCAATCTTTGGTTGGTGCGCGACGAAAAGTGCATTCAAATAGCCCGCTGGAGAAAGAAAAATTAAAGAGGGGTGTCGAAAGAAAGAGATATAAAAAAATTCTTACGCCAGAACCAGTTCCGGACTTGACTGAAAGAAGTTCACGGAGATGCCGGTAGTACCAATGACGACTCTGATCTGGATATTTAGATAACGTTCACGTTGTAATTGGTTTCTTTTTGTTATTAAACTTTTGCCCAGAAGTGACATAAGGTTCCCATCTTTTCCCAAACACTGTCGTTAAGCAACAGAGATGCGTCGCTGCTGAAACAAATGGTTTTTTTCCTTTTTTGCGATATGTGAAAATAAATATTTTTATTTGTTACAAGTTTATGAAAGCTTTGAAAGAAATCGAGGCGAATGTTTATAGAACAACTCTTTATTTTAGTAATTTTTGCAAAAGAAAAGCATAATTTGACACGTTCTTTTTTAATTGAGACCCGCAATTTATACTCCGACAGTTGAGGAAAATATAAGTATGTTTAAATGTGCTAAATATTATATGATAAAAAAATTGTATATATATTTGAGTGTCTAATATATTTTTGGAATGTATTATGTACGAGAGTTCGTTCAAATCAACCTCTATCGCATTGATAAATGCACTAGTAAATACACCCTTGACCTTTACTTTCTACACGTTCTCGTGTTATAATGTGCGTCAAATGCACGTCAAACATAACATTTTCATGCGCGAATTGCACGTACAAATGCGACATAGCTCGCATCTTTAACTAACCAATATATAAATATCGAAGTGTAGTAAAAGTTTACGAAAACAAACTGAACTCACTTATAATTAATAAATGAAACAGGATTGGCATAGATTTAACAATAGATTAGACAAGATGCTATTTTCGGTCGAGCTGAATCTTACGATTAGTAGCCTAATATTTCTGTGTGAGTTTTTTAGTTTAAATATGATGCTTACTAGCATCGTATTAGCAAAATTGATTATCGATTTAAGTAAGTGCATTTGCTGTTCCAACAAGAAGCTTTTAGGATCAAAAATAACCGGCGCGATCGTTGGCTGAGTTGGAAAAAGAATACATTTACACAGAAATATTATTAGATTACCAAAATCCAGTTTAACCGAAATCGACATTTTCTTTAATACATCGTTGCTTATCATTGATATGTTTAGCGACTCATTGTGGCACGTATTATTATTATCAATTTTCATTATCACGGTTCTTTATTTAACTTTTATGACATTTTATAGGCTATTATCGTAACACGTGTCTAAAAGGGATTACATCTTAATTTTAACGCGTTGAAAATGACAATTTAATAGATGGAATGCACGGAGAAGCGCATTTTTAATGCATTACATCGCATTTCAATGCATACATGGGGACTAAGAGCAAGGATAATTATCGGTGATTGATAATAAATCAATGAGGATATTGATTGCTTAAGACAAGATCTGAAAAAATTTTGAAAAAGAGACATATTAGTCGGGGAAAGAAAGCAGCGATGTATGTTCTTTAAGAGAAAGATATTTGTAATTCTCTTGCTGCATAGAATTTTTACTACTGATCAGTAATGAGACGTGAATTTTGCTAGTGTCCTCGTCATTTCTTTCGCGACGTAATGTAATACGTAACGCGTAATGTAACGCGTAATGTAATACGTAATGTAATGCGTAAACTTGCATCAACGTGCGATTCTTCTCCCTCCGCTCGCGCCAGGTCAGCCGAGATTTGATTATTCTAATGGCATAATGTCGTTGCCTACGTGTCACCCTCTTTTTCCCACTTATCCTGCCCCACGACTGTAAAAGTTCGTCATGGGGGTGGGCTTTGGGTGCACACTGCCCGTCGCTTCGCACCGTCGGCTCTTAGCGACGGGCGAAGCGCGAGGTGATTCCCTCTGTCTATTTCTTTCTATCATTTTTTCAAGGCTTGTGTTCAAATAATCCTCACATCTTTTAATCATAGATTGTTAGCGGTCCAAAAAACTAGTATACTTTTTTATTACAACGTGAGTTTCACTTTGGATATTAAATGTCATGTCTAACAATAAGTTGAAATCCAGAGATTTGATAACATTTTCTGAAAGTAAAATAAATAATGTATATGGCAAATAATGTGTGCGCGTTTCACCCGTTGTGTTTTTATTCGCATCTTTCAAGTGTAATCTGAGAAAATACTTGCAAACGCTAAAAGTTTATTGGATCAAAGTTGGTTTAACAAAATTACACCTGTGAATTTTAATCCAATGACTTAGTTATATTCTCCGAAGTTTGTGTAATATTGAAAAATATATAACTTCAGGATATTCAACAATAATTTTACTTGTTCGACAATTTTAAATAACTACAGATACAATCCAGTCTCAAGTCATTTCTTCAGCCAAAATCTACTCGACGATACACGCTTTTGATTATCGGTAGATTCTCGTTTTCCAACTTTCATATTATAAATTTCAACACTATGTTGAATTATTGTTTGAATTTAAACAAGCGAGGAGCATATCGAGTTTCTGCTGCTTTGTCCCTTCAAGTGGCATATTGTATCTCATTGTACAGTAGAATCCCGAGTTCCAGTTTATAATATATTCCAAAGCAAATTTTTAGTTTAACTTTTATTTTAACTGTCGAAAAGTTTCAATATTAATAATAATATAAACGTTATAATATCTTCACGCAGAAAAAGTAATTTTAGAAAAGTTTTATTTTACTTACAGTACAAACTTTTAACAGTCACGCCATGTAAGTACCTATATTTAACAATTTATTTTTTAATACACATACATATGTGCGCGTGCAACAAATGCATTGTTTTTACCATGAGTAATGTTGGAACATCTTTTTATCTTTCCTTTTCGGTTTATCTGAGTTTTTCATTATCCGAGGTGGGTTCGGTCCATATTAATTCGGATAATCGGGACTCTACTGTATTTCGTCGCATTAACTTGCATTTATTTAAAACAGATCCTCGAAAATCAATTGTATACTTAACTGCTGTATTTAATACTATACTTGCCAACGGCAAATATTATATTATTGTTACAGCAAAATTATTTCGATATCTTTAAATCGCGATGGCAAGAAATGGCGGGATTTGTTTTTTCCTTTTTGGCTCTTAGAAAATGGGCATGCGTGCAGAAAGAATTTTGCTGGAGGATGCT